ATCAGGGACGAAAAAATCCAGGTTCATCAAAAAGACCCCCCCCCCCCCTAATCACTCTATCGTAAAGCTTAGTCATCCCCACTAATCAACAATCAGGAACATCAGACTACAAACCCAGCACTGATCACGTCACTAGTCATAAGGAATCTCACGGATTGGTTCCCCGATTGCCTTAAAACCCAATCAACCAACTTACTTAGTCACTTGGCCTGACAAAGCTTTTGTGTCAAAAGCGAAACATTGCCCAGCAATAAATCCACCGACTGTTTACCAAAACCCTCTGAAAGGAAGGGTAGGGTTTCGCTTGGGTCTCATTTTCGGAGCCAAAAAATGGTTCAGTTGTAGTACCCTTGCGGTGACTAGCTGCCACACCAGATGAAGGAAGCAGAGGGCCGGAATATTGCCAGGTCGCCCAAACATAGGCAGAAGTGATCGACATGCAGAGGTTGTGTTCCATCCAGTGACCTCCCGGTCAGTAAGTTCGCGCCTTAGCCACTGAGCCATCTCGGAGCCGAAGACCTACATGGCTGGTCTGACTCGATGACGCAGGTAGTTCGGCTGCGCATAGCGGGTGCCTTCTGAGGAGCAAGACTCTTCATTTTTCGTTTATTTCGACCACGCAGACCTCCAAAACTCGTCCTGCTGCCCCCATAAATATGGACATAATGGATACCTCAAAGAAACACATTACCGCCTTTATGCTCCTATGGAAAAAGATGTTCCAAACTTACCTCCGGGTCGCCTCCTAACAAGACTTCAGGGATTCGTTGTTCCTCATTGGACTGATCCCCGTTTGCCTTACTGGCGTAAGCGAACTTTAAGGAACTAAATCTTAGCTAGTGTAGCTCGCAAGACCATTGGTGCCCTACCACCACAAAAGCGCGACGGCCTTAGGTCAGGAGAGCTCAGGAAGCCAAAATGAAGGGCACAAACAACCAAAATAAAGAGATAGTGAAATTCGAGTAGAAGCGTTACAATCGCGTACGTCACGATTTACTGAATTGGGTAGCAAGCGGCCAAGTCCTAATGCGCGTATGAACCATTTCGGAGGGCACGAACTCGTGCTGGGTGAGTCATTCAAAAAAGACCATGAAAGACATCCGTACCACTAAACAGACAATATCGGACTGCGAACATCAAATTCAGTCTTGCAAGCATAATCATTCGACAGGAAGGTCTGGATGAGTAACCAAAGCGCATGTACCTGCTCCGTCTGAACAGGCACGTCCAATGTCAAGACGACTAGTTATAACCACTGGGATCTCATAATTCCAACTCTGCGTGGAACTGATGAAAACACAACTCAGGGAATAAGGTTATATTGAAAGTGGGCGGTCTATGTACAGTATACACAAGGCACAGCTTAAAAATTGGGGGTCATTCATGCTCAACGTTTGGATCTTACGGTTCGTTTTGCTTTAGCTGTTTGATTCTTGAGAGCAACCGGTTTCAAAGTGGCATGCCCAGTTTGTTTCAAATGAGCAAACAACTGATTACGGGAGGGAAAATCAGCAGCACATGTTTCGCACGCCAGGGATATGGTACTTTTAGCTTCTGCTTCAGGAAGACGGCTTTGATTAGATGATGGATTTTGCGGCCCGGGGGTGGATCCTAAAGGCAGATGCGGAAAGTTAACGTTAACATAGGCCAAATGAACTACTTTCATACTGAGGAACGGTATCCTTGTACTAAACACTTTTACGAACAACATTAACACAGAGTGCACCAAGACGGAAGCGAAATCATTCCGGCACTCGTTTCAGCAGCCAGACTTTACGATGGCGCGAAATTTATTGTACTAAATAACCATATCTTGATCCACTCCAGTCCTCTAAAGAACGCAATGTGACAATCAACTAGTGTAGAAGCAACCAGTCCATTCCAGCCTTTTAGAACGTATTCGTTCTTTTTGGTAAGCAAAATTCAAGTGTTTTCTTGCAAATGAATATCCTATATAGTCCCTTGGGCTATCGTGCCGATTCATTCATACGTAACTTATATACCCATTACATTCTTATTATTTCTCTCTTCTAGCCATTCTGTGACTATTGCTGCAGAGAGTTCGTTCAACTTAGTTAACTTGAAAGAAACGAGAGGGTATCAGGTTTAGCAATGTTGTGGAATGTAGGTAGCTCGGGTGCGCTGTTTGGTTGTTGGTCTATTCGCCGAGCTTGACAGTTGGATTGCAAACGTTTCATCACCAATCGAGGTTAGAACGTCAACCCTGCACTGACGACGTCACCTCGATTGGTGATGAAACGTCTGCAATCCAGCTGCCAAGGGTATCAGGTTTCTCTGGGAGGTATTCCGGTAAGAAGAGTGGCCAAATAAAACCAAGTCTCAGTTTCACTTGGTCATTCTTGCTGATATCGGTGTATCAAAAGATTCTCCGAAAGAAACGTCATCAGCCAAACAGATTGAAAGTGAGTAGTATCCACTATGTAATTCAGCCGCTTGCTTGCAATATATGGGGTCGCGTAAGGTACAATCAATCAGACCAACAGCTAACTGATCAAAGCCCGCACAATGGGAGGCTATCAGCTTGCTCCTCTTGTGTACAACTGTGCATCTGAATACTACGGTGTTAGCCCATTGCGCGCAATCAACAACAATGACACAGAATGGTGTGCACCACATTCGGTTGATAAACGCCACCGACCAATGACTAGTCGGACAATAGAAATGATCGAATGACCTGGTCGCGATTTGCGCAAATCTGACAGCGTTTCCGTAGTTGACCAATCTAGTCACACGAAACAGTTGCGTCAAAAGACTTAAACATGACCTGCATAACTCATTATTGAAAGAGCCTGCCATATTCAGATCTATACCAAAACAAAAAAGGCTAATATGGTGTGAAGAAATATTAAATGGTAGTGGATTGCTGGGGCATTTTGCTGCGCAGATCCCTTAGAAAAAACAAGCTCACTAACATTGTAGCAGTCAGCGAATTTCTTCAAATAGGGGTTATGCAGTGGTATGGACGCAAGTCTATGGGAGTGGTCAAGATAAACAAAAGCCGAGTTCCGTCGAAACTAGCATTCACACTGAACTCACCTATCGAATAGTAGTGCACGGAGTAAAACAAACGAATATGGATAGTCAAAATGCGTACCTGAATCAGTGGTCCTGCATTCCTCTGGGTCTTTATTCTCGACAGGTTGCTTGTCGGAGAGATCTACACTGTTGAGTTTTGCGGCCTCTTTTAGGCGCTTTCTCTGAGCTTTCTTCGCCCGCTTGGTTAGTTTGACTGAAGCTACTCCAGCAACCAGATCGGTCTCTGACGTTGAAGATTTCGCATCCGAGTCAGCACCATTTTCCGTATATTCATGCCCTTTCAATTTCACTACTTCCTGCTCCTCCAACAGGACTTGCCTTAGCAGTTCCACTTGTTTTCTATGTTTCTTCGAACTTTCATGATTGGCTTTGGCATTTGCTGAGGCGAACGTCTTATCACACGCCAAACAATACAAACTATTGACGTCCTCGAGTTCATCAGCTGAGACACCCGGCGACTCTGCTTCCCGGACCTAGGAGTGAATTAACGAGATAGTTCAGTATCGCATTCGTTTGGGGCACAGACAGTGTTAAAAGAGCCCATGTATAATCAGACTTTATTGGATAACGGTTCTCTTACATGAAACTTTCGGGAACAAGTCTAGCCTTATTCACGCCCACAAATGAAGAACCCCATCGAAACCTGACTATATTGGTGGTATCCGACGTTATTACAGTACCTCTAGATCTCTCACCTTCTTGCTAACATAGAACTGTATTTAGAGGACTCACGTTTATAGGGTTGTGGATATCTGGAAAGACTACTTCGGGTAAGCTATGCTGAAGTAGCTGACGTAATAACACCAAAAGGCTCAACATCAAGTAAATGAAAGCATAGGACCACCTGACTGCACCATGCAATCGAGATTCCATTTGGCTATTTCATCCCCCAAAAAACCGTTAGCTTTGTTTCGGCAAGGAACGGGATGGCATTGTAAATAAAATAAAGTCAAAGAGCAGCCAGCAACTAATTTTTATAACGGATCATTGCACATTTGTCTCATCGATGTGTTGCACATTCCACGGACCCTGAGTTGAGCTGAAATCGGGACTCCAATTCGATCAGTCTAATAATTTCAGGTAAACGTCGTCATCATGGACAGCATGACATTAGTGTTCAACATGATGCTTCACTGTCGTAAATGTACAGGGGCCACTTTTTTGTAGAATGACAGGTCCCAACGAAGGCGTTCCACCTGAACGTAAAGATTGGCTCGACTACAAACACAAAGTACGTGACCAAATCGTTTGCAAACGATGAGGCAATCGTGAAAGCGTTTCGGGAGGCTTCCTCAGAGATACAAGTGGGTTTCCACATGAGAACTGACTGAACATTACGAACTTTCTTGAACACGGAATGGCTGTAAAGATTAAACATTCGGATAAGCTTCATGTGCCGTTTGTCGACACAAGCGCTGGCATCGAAAAGAACTGACAAAATAAGTAAATTCACGTTATATAACATCTATAACGATTACCAGGCGAGATGGCTCAGTGGTAAGAGCGCAAATTTACTGACCGGAATGTCCGTGGTTCGAACCCGGCCTCTGCCTCTCGATTTCTCCTCTCTAGGCTTGGGCAACCTGGTAGTATCACAGCCCTCGTGCTTCCCTCTGGTGCCATGGCAGATAGGCACCGAAAGGGTGTTACAGCTGAACTGCTATAACGATCACTGATCCTGGCGCCAAATAAATCAGAGACAGACGCCCGGCATTTGAACAAATCCCTACGAGGCTTTTATTGGTCACTTCAGATCAGAGGTTCAACCCCGCGTATACATCCATTTGGTACATTCGCCTCCGTTAATCCTGAATCCAAAAGTAGCACGAATAAAAAAATTGGCCACTAGATGATGCAGTTCAGCCGTTGGTATCCCATTTCAGCTAACTGATTTTATTCAACTCTGTTAATTCGTCAATGAACTATTGTGTCCGTTGCATCTACATAACGCATTGTATTGAAAGATAACTGGTCATTTTCGTATGACATTTAACTCGTGCCGCGGTATGTGGAATCCAGTATCCTGATTGTAAAAACATAGATCACTTTTGGCGAACATACACTCATTTGCAAACTAATTTGGTTATTTCGAGAGACTCACCCGGAACCCAGCTGAATCTCTCGTTTATGATGTTCTCAGGCAACTGAATGTGCTGCACCAGGTCGCCTCATGTTTCAGTCGCTACGAAAGAACCAAATTAGTTTGCAAATGAGTGTATATTCGCTAATTTCGTATAATTTGGTTTCAAGTAGAACATAAGGTTGATGGAAACCCGGGGACTGCGCCTACCTGATGAGCCCTAAGAAGGGCGAAACCGGTCGTAGGCTGTCGATGGATTTTCAGCAACCTTATGAGTAGCACATTACATACCTAGAAATCCATGTTAGTGATGCACAGATGCTTTTCACGGAAAAGTAAATGAAATTGACTGAGAGTTCTGTTTGTGACGTAGCTTAGTGTCAGAATACCAGTTTTACAAGGAACTTCCATACGGACACAGTCTTGGAAACAAAAAATGGCTGAGTTGTGACCTACCTCATTTGAGCGAGGCGACGCACCATCAAGTTCTGCTTCCAACCGGGCGAGCTCCGCTTCGAAAACGTCTTGCCACTGTGCAGCAATACCACCAAAGGAAAGTTCTTCATTCCACGCTTCAGCCAACTGTGCTGCATTACTACAGAAAGAATAACAACAGAAACGGATTTATCGAAATCGAGTGCAAACTTACTACCAACAGTAGCACTGCCGTAATCCTCAAAAAACATGTCACATCGGGTTCCAACCACTGGATGTCGAAACAAGGTAGCATTATTAGCAGAAGGTTACCTCCGACATAGCCAGCATGTGACCTCATCAAGCTAGCCTACAGCTCGTCTATCACTGTACGGCTGATTTCTTCGAAAACCTTTAGGAGAGTCCATAATCACGTTACCCGTCAGGCACAACCCAGTGTAATCTCCCTTCCAAAGAGGTCGACCTCAGCGGAGACTAAAAGTCCTCTCTCTGTTCCTAAGTCCGTTGTTGGAGGAGAACGAACTGACTAGTTGACCAATACCGAAAGCTATCAAGCAGCGCAAATTCTTTAACTGGAACATACCTTCAACTAACTCTACCATCAACATGAGGTTGATCAGATGACCTGGGTCTGTCACCACGTTGCATTCGTGAAGTGGTGGTGCAAAGCGCTGTGGCACTGCGATCGGGTAAGTGTGGCGAACCTCCTTGAGAATATGGAACATACACTAACTCTACCATCAACATGAGGTTGATCAGATGACCTGGGTCTGTCACCACGTTGCATTCGTGAAGTGGTGGTGCAAAGCAAAGCGGCACTGCGATCGGGTAAGTGTGGCGAACCTCCTTGAGAATCCAAAGGCATATATTATATATATATATATATATATATATATATATA